ATATTTTTGACTCGCACTTATTATTACTCAACAACTTTTAATGAATGATTCAAATTTTTTTTTGTTTTATGAAAAAAAAAAAAAAAAAACATGGCGACGACGTACATAAATTTTTAAATTAATAAAAAAATTGCAACAACAAGTTTTTAAAAAAAAAAAAAAAAAAACATCCATTAAAATATTTTTAAAATTACAAGCTTTTCCTTTTCCTCTTTTGTGTTTACATTATTCAATTTTCGACTTGTTCCTTTTTTTTTTTTTTTTATTAAAATTAATAATATGCGTGTCTCGTTAATATTGGGGGGCGGGGGGCGGAGGGGGAGAGAGAGAGGGGGAGGGGGGGAAAAATGTCGAAAATATTTTTAATATAATATTTAAACTCGGGGTTTTATTAATAAATATATAATAAATAAGAATCATTATTCGAGAATTATGTATAACGTTCGGGCTCCCTTAAATAGCTTTTCTTTTTTTCGGACATATAAATTTTTTTTAAATTAATAAATTACAACAAAATGTGTGTGTGTGTGTGCGTGCGCGTGTAAAATTATCGTTAAAAATTGTAAATTTATTAACTATATATATATAAATTACAATTCGATGGAAATTTTTAACGTCGCACAATTTTATTCGATTCATTTAATTTTATAAAATTTTTACAATTTGACAAAAATAAAAAAAAATTTATAAGTTATATTGAACGTACAAGTCGAAGTGTTTTATTTATTTTTTTTTCTTTCGTTTTATTCTAGAAATAAAACAAAGACAGAGAGAGAGAGAAAGAGAGAGAGAGAGAAAGAGAGAGAGAGAGAGAGAGAGAATCGAACGTCGTTTTATTTTTTTATTTATTTATTTATTTTTAAAACGAACGTGAACGCTTCAATGTTCTTTTAAAAATCTTTGAAAAAAGCAAAAAATTGTCGGGTAATTAATCTCGCTTAAAATTTACCCCCTTCCCATCCACCCACCCCTCACCCTCCCTTAATAATAATAATTATTTCTATGAAAATATTATTATTTTCTTCTTATTAATGTAATTTTTTTTTCTTTTCATTATTAAAATTATATTAAATTTATTATTATTATTAATACGTAATTAATTTTATAATCTAATTGGAATATCTAATTTGTTTTACGCCGAGTTAGATTTAATTGTATTTCTTTTACACACACACACACACACACTCAATACACGTTTTTGATAAAATTTATTTTAATAATAATAATAATAATAATAAAAAGGGGGTAAAATTCATTAAAATAAATTTCATATATTTAAAAAAAAAAAAATTACTTTTCAAATAACACGAAGTATGTACGTACGTAACAAAAAAAAACCTTGACGTGTACAAAAAAAAAAGAAAGAAAGAAAAAATTGGATTATAAAAATCACCCTCCCATTTTTCTCATACCTACTACCTACATACATTTAAATTTTGGTTTTAGTCCAGTTGGGGGTTTTTTTTTTTTTCTAAAACAAATTTAAAACAATTGAAAATTTCAAAACAACTTTTTTTTTTCTCTCTCTCTTTCTCTTTCTCTCTCTCTCCCTATTATTTAAAACACTCGATCCTTTGTTAACTTAACTTTTTTTAACAAAACCTTTTCATAACCAGACAAAAAATTTTAACGTTATCAATTCCAAAAATTTTATTTTTATATTTTTCACGGGCAAAAAAAAAAAAAAAATGTTTTTTTTTTTTTTTTTTATTTCAACAGTTTATGTTATAATTAATTTTCCCTCCCCCCCTAATCCTTCTCTCCCCTCCTTCACCTACCCCCACCCCCCATTTTTTTTTAAACGCTGTCATATTAACGACTAAAATTTAAAAAAAAAATAATAATAACCGCCTTCAATTTGACGTTTATGCAAATCTAATTACTCATATATTTAAAATCTAAAAATTTATTATTATTATTATTATTATTATTATTATTATTATTATTATAATTATTCGTTATTAATAATAATAATAATTAAATAAATTTATTTACCTTTTAATTTTTTATTTTAAAATATATCGACCTTATTTATATACGTTATACGTTGAAAATAATTATTTCGTAGAGTTTTTTTAACGTTAATAATAAACACGCCATTTTTGTTTTTTCTTTTCGTAATTTATTATTTAATAAATATTAAAATGAAAAATTTTCAAAATAATTATAAAATATAATTTATTATTAAGATTTTTAATGCGTTACCCTATTAAAATAATAATAATAATAATAATTATTATTATTATTATTATTATTATTTTACAAAAGGATCGTCGATCGATATTTATAATTAACAAAACAATAAGTTTTCATTCACGATTTATTATTATTATTATCATCATCATCATTTTTTTTTTCGTTAAAAGAAATTAATGCGTTATTATTAAAATATTAAATAAATAATAAATTTTTCTTTAAATAAATAAATAAATTATTATTATTATTATTATTTTAAGGTATTAATATTGTTTAAAACGTCGAGTTTAATAACGTATATGCATATATATATAATTTAATATCCATAAAAAAAATTATTATTATTATTACTAATTTTTTTTTGTTTATTAACAACGTTATTAAATATTTACTTATTCCCACAGAAATTATTAAAAACAATAATAAAACTGAGGGGTGGTAGTGGGGAGGGTAAAAGAAACATTAACATCAATTTAATAGAAAGTTTTATGTAATATTTTTATAGGTTATCATTATTATCATCATCTCTATAACTATTAAATGTAAATTTTTATTTAATTACGTTGTGCACTCTCCGGAGTCGAAAATAATAATAATAATAATGATAATAAAATGACGGTAAAACTTTTAAAGCGGTTTAAAATAAATAAATAAAAAAGAGGGAAATTATATCATTTATTTAAATATAATTTCATGGTTATTATTATTATTATTATTTTTGTTTAAACAAATCCTTTTTTTTTTATTTTCTTATTTAAATTCTTTTTTTTTTTTTAAAGAAAAAACGATTAATTTAATTAAATTATGTGGAAATAACAAAAAAAAAAAAAACAAAACCTCTTTAGTTTTATTTATATAAATAAATAAATAAATAAATAAATTAACTACATAAATAAGACAATGTTTCCCCTCCCCTCTCCCCTTTCTTTTTTCCCTAAATAAAAATTAAATAAAAACCTTTTTCCTTAACACAAAATTAAATCAAAATTTTTAATTTTTATATTGTTAAAAACAAAACGAAATGAAAAGGAACTCCCACAAAAATATCGACAAATGTTTCATCTCCCCCCCCCCAAAAAAAAAAAAAAACTTTTCAACCCTTTCAACGTCACATAAAAATGCGATGTAAAAAAAAAATACGTATAAATTAAATAATAATAAGTTAACTTAACATATGATGATGATGATGATGATGATGATGATGATGATGATAATACGCGTTGTCAAAAAGACTCGGTATTTAAATATCTATTCACAATCATAGACTGTCCCAAGGGATTAAATAACTTTTGCTCTTTAAACAGGTACTTGAAAAAGAAAGGATGAGACACACACAACATGATGATTATGTTATGAACAATAAATCCCAAGAGTCTCTTAAGAATAATAATAATAATATTAACGATTATATGGCCACTTGAAATATTTCGTTAGATGTGAATCTCATTTGACCCCTACTTATTATTATTATTATTTTTAATGTGTTAGAAATATTATTATTATTATTATTATTAATGGGATTCCTTTTTTTTGGATCGCCATTGTGCGTAACACGTAAGTAACATGATAAGTTTAAAAATTAAATACAATTAGTTTGAATTGAATTTTTTTTTTTCCACCCTGAAATTACTAACATCCAATTAAAAGTTTTATAGAAACGAAATTTTTTTAATTTTATTTTACGCTTTTAACTTCGTGATATCTCCTGTAGGACTCGGAAATTCCCATAAATAAACGTGACTGTTGAACTCCCTCCCCCTCCCCCCCAAAAACAAAAACCCTTCACGAATTCGACCGTATATACCGAGACGTTTTATTCATTTAATCATTTCTATTTATAAAAAATAACAATCGATGAAAACATTTTAAATTAATTTAAAATTTATGACAAAAGAAAAATTTCTGTGTTAAAATTACCCCCGCACCCCGCCCCGCCCCCCCCCGAAAAAAAAAGAAAAAATGTGTTTAACTTTACGACGTGGTTGGAAAAAAAAAAAAAATTAATAAATTAAAAAACGATTTTTTTTTTTGTTTTGTTTTTATTTATTCTTTATCCACGTCATATTTAAACTTTTCTTACACGATCGAATTTTAATTTCCCCCCTCCCCCCTTTTTTTTTAACTTTAAAAATTCATTTTAGCAATAATCGAGACGAAATCTTTCTCTTTCTCTCTCTCTCTTTCGATTTTTAATACAAGTATTAGTATTTAATTTTCACTTGATTTTTACTTTTTTTTTTTTTTTTTTAAATCCGTACTTAATGAAT